TAACAACAACTAAAACATCAGCGTGTTATCAACATTATTCTCATCCTAAATCCAAAGCAGCACTATACCAGCTACTAGGAAGAAAATGAACTCTATCCCAGCCAAAACCAGGACACCCTTATGTGTTGGAAAGGGTCTGATAATGCATGTCTCCAGCTAACCCGGTTTATAGTCTAATTGCTTGTCTCTTAACTGCTCCAGGGCCTATGTCTCGCTGTTCATGCGCCATTTATGTGAACCTGGAGCTGATGGTGCAGAGACCTTTGCAGATGGGGTCCCACGGGAAGGTCTTTCTCGACAGCATGTCCTTACTCGCATTGGGGTCATGTCACTTATACGCAAAAAGGTAGGTGCCTGGCAGAGCAATGTAGCCTTCGCTCTCCATACAACTTGTAGTCACTGGGGTCCTGAGCTAGTGAGTTACCTCTCCTTTCACACCTGTTTTTGCTGTGTGCCGAGTGGTCTGTCCTGGTTTGAGGATGAGCTTTGTATGATTCCTCCAATTATATGTCTGTCTTTCCCCCTCATGCAGGTGCAGGAATTTGAGCATGTGAATGGCCGTTGGAGTATGCCAGAACTGGCAGAGATAGAGGAGAACAAGAAACTTTCACAGCCAAGCTCACCCTCTCCCAAAACTCCAACTCCTTCGACACCAGGGGATACACAGCCAAATACACCTGCCCCTGTCCCTCCACCTGGTGAGAGCTCCCCCTCTTGTACAGTCTTGCGTCCTGACCTCTTCCTGGCTGTTCCCCTCACCGGAGCTGTGGTGGTGGGGTCTGGGGGTGGACGCAGATCAACTTACCCCTCATGTTAGGAGGGCTGCCAAAGACATGTGCAAGCCCTTAAAGGCAAGAGAGGACACTAGCTTTCCTTGGATGAGCTGACATCAGTGAGAAGAGAAGCCCAGCATTTGTAGGGGGCAGGAAAGGGGGGGGTCATCTTGAGTGATGTTGGTCCCATTTTGATGGACCTATCTCTGGGAGCAAAGGAGATGTGTGCTTGGTAACAGTGAGGGGAAGACCTTACTGATGGCTTCTCTTCTTTTGTCTGCTGTGCTGCTCTGGGGTGGGGAATACACAGAAGAAGGAGTAAAAGTAGAAGAAGGAGCCAGTGCTAAGGAGCAAGGAGAGTCATCTGAACCAGAGAAGGAGCTCAGTGCCTCTGCTACTGAAACAGAGGTCCCTATGGAGGTGAGTGTTGGGTTGCTTGTTTGCCTCATGCAATTGCAAATGTCTCTACTTCTGCCCCCTCTTCTGTGTCGTTCAGCTGCTGAGACAGGTGAATTCTTGGAACGATATTTAAAGATAATTCTCAGGTCCTCAGAATTGGCCTGACAGTTTTGCGCATCTTTGCTTTCCAAACTGCTGTGACTGTCTTCTGTTTCCATGCGCTGCTTTACCTCGCTTCTCATTGATTTCTGTCCTCAGCAGTGTGCCCAGCCTGTGGAGACACCGCCACAGGAAGCAAAATCCCCGGTGAACCCCACAGAAGCAGATGAAAAAAAAGTAGAGGAACAGGAGGTGAAGGAAAGACCAGATGAGCCAATGGAAGTAGAAAGCAAAGGTATCTCTAGGGAGGTTGTTTAATACCTTGAACAGCAATAAACCCCCCTCCCTCTCCAATACTATTTTCCTAAAGCTGCATCTTTTTTGCTTCAGCACTTCATCCTAAAGAAACAGGCATAAATGTAGACAATCAGTGGGGCTATTCCAGGACTTTGACCAGGGAGTTAAGGAACAGTATTAGGTTTCACAGGCTGAAGAACAAAACCTTGGACTTGCCGTGTTTCCCTACATCTCATGTTCCCCTTCTCTCCTGCAGCTGATGTGGAGAAAGTGGAAGACAGAGCACCTATTGAGAATCCCCCGGAACCTCCTGTAATCACTCTGGATGAGAAAGGTGAGTCATGATAGTTCCATTCTCTTCCTTAACCCCTCTCCTGCAAGGATTCCTTGTGGGTCCAACTTGCTGTGGTACCTGCCACGTTCTTTCTAATGATTTCCTGTGTGTACAGATGAGAAAAAGGATGATGATAAGAGAGATGTGGTGATGCTGCAGAATGGAGAGATGCTGAAAGAGTCAGTAGATGAAAGGCACAAGAAGGCAGTAAAGCAGCGCTTCATGTTCAACATAGCAGATGGTGGTTTCACTGGTATGAGAAATCTTTATATGCTTGAACTTGTTTATATGCCCCTGCTTGTGTTCATGAAATAACTTTCAACTGTTCTGGTGTCTCTTGCCTTTCCAGAACTACACTCCCTGTGGCAGAATGAAGAGCGGGCTGCAACTGTCACAAAGAAGACCTATGAGATCTGGCATCGGCGTCATGACTACTGGCTCCTTGCTGGGATTATCAAGTATCCTTACCCTGACGGACCAGTTCTCTCCCCTTGTACACAAACTATTCACGGTGAAGGTGACAGTCCTGGGTCTGACTGGAGTACATTAAGTGGGAGAGTGCTTTATCTTCTTTCACAAGAGTGAAAGTGCTGGTGGGAGGAGGAGTTTCCTGCCAGCATAGTTAAGACTTAGCAGGGCATAGTTCTCATTCCTTTTCCTTGGCTCCTGTTCCTCCCCTCTCTGCACCCCCTTTCCCCACCCCCTCTTGAGAACTGTATCTGCCTGGGCTGTGTATTCCTTTGTTCTCACTACCTTTGTTTGCCTGAGCTCATCCCATCTCAGTCATGGCTATGCCCGTTGGCAGGATATTCAGAATGATCCACGTTACGCCATCCTCAATGAACCCTTCAAGGGTGAGATGAACAGGGGTAACTTCCTGGAAATAAAGAATAAGTTCTTGGCGAGGAGATTTAAGGTAAGGATTTCTCTTCAGTATGGTAAGTGCCTTTCAGCCAGCTGGACCTCTAATAACAAGAGCTTGCTGTTCTGAGTTTCTGCTAAGAAAGTGAAGGCTTCTGCAGTGCCTTTCATTTTAGGGGGGGAACAAATAAGCAATATCTCTTAGGATCATGCAGTAGCTCCATGATAGGAGCTCCCTTTACTCTAGAAATGGTATTGGGGAGCTTGGTTCAGTGTTCTCTCTCTCCAAATGTCTATTGAACAACTGGTATGCAGGAGGCTTAAGGTTCAAGTGGCTGTTTCCATCACAGCTTCTGCTTGGTGTGCTACAACCCACTCAATGTGCCTAAGCAGAACTTAGAAACATCGTACAGGTTGGTGAAAGGGTTGCCTTCAGTCTCTGCCTCAACCTATTTGGGAGTGACCATAGCTTAGTTCTGGGAGTGATTTAAGACCAACCCAAACAAAGGCCATGTAGTTCTCAGTCTTGGGGCAAAACATTAATTCAAGTGTAGTCTGGCTGGTCAGTTCTGCACTAACAGGATTCAAATTGATTTCTCCAAATGTCCCTGACGTGCTTAAGAGTTTTTAGACTCTTCCTGTAAGTAGCATGGGATACTTCTTGCTCAGATTCAAAGAGAAAGCTCCATCCCCTTTGCTCCTATAAATAGTAAACAACTTGGTCTTTAAAAAGAATCTGAGGAGGAATTGAGAATCCTAGAGGATTTATTAAACTAGATGTAGCCTGGTTTTCTTGTGTACCTGGCCTAGCTTAATGGAGCCCTTAATTGTTTTGGGCTCTTCAGGCTTTACTCAATATAAACAGAAGCTGGTGAAAGGAGGTTCAGATGCAGAATCTCACCTCATGAGATAGTGGAGAACTGGATCAGGAGAGACTGGGGGTGCAAACAGGCTGCTCTTCAGGCCACTGCTGCAAGACTTTCTCATTACTGCCCCATCTTGCAGCTCCTGGAGCAAGCGCTGGTGATCGAGGAGCAGTTGCGGCGAGCTGCCTATCTGAACATGTCAGAAGACCCAACTCATCCATCTATGGCTCTGAACACACGTTTTGCAGAGGTGGAATGCCTGGCTGAGAGCCACCAGCACCTATCCAAGGAGTCAATGGCCGGGAA